AAGGAGGAAGATTATAGTAGTGAGAGGTGGAGATGTTGCAGGTGGGCATGAGTCAGAGGGATGTAAAGAGAGAGAGGGGGTAGGGAGGAGGTGGGATACCTTAAGAAGGGGGAGGGAGGCAGAGCTCAAGCAGAGACCTGTTCCCTGACAGGCATCCCCCCTGCTTCTGCAGGATGAAGCCCATGCATGCAGCTGGTGCCCCTCTCCCATTTCCTACTCTGTCAGCCTTCCCACTGTGCATCAACCTTGAGCCACATTGTGTGGGGACTGTGTGTGCGTCAATCCCCTCTCCTTCCAGAAGAGTTTCATGTGGAAAGTTTCGAAGAAGAAAATCTCTAGCGAGGGAAGAAGATTTACTGTATAAATTCAATTATCTTGACAGATGAGTGCTCAAATTCCATCACAGATCAGGAGTTTCTCTCTGATGTAGGATAGTTCCAGCTTCCTAACCTGTCCCTGTACTTGCCCACCCACGCCAGAGGCTGCAAAACACTTTAGCAGTGCCAGAAATGAGCTGCCATTTCCCTCCGGAGAGATGCAATTCTCCCTGCCCTGTCACGATAAGGGGAAAGGACAGCTCCCAATGAGCACAGGTGTTTTTTTTTTTTTTTTTTTTTTTTTTCTTCCCCTCCTCTCCCACATCTTAGACTTTGTCTGACTGCCCCTGGACCTTAACGAAACTAAGGCTTTTACAGACAAGACACACTTAAAGCAGCCAAGAAAGAAGGGAGAAGTATATGAAGGGCAGTCAGGTTGTGGGGGCTGCTCTTGCTCATGGCACTGAGCTGCCACAAAGCAAGGACAAGGAGCCTGGAAAGCTCATGGACTTTAATAAGGAGGCAACCGTTTTGTACTAGCTTTAATATTTCCCTGCTCTTGGTTTATGAACACCCAACACACGCACAGTTCCCCAGGTTGCTGGTATGATAAAGATCCAAGCACTGAAAGTTGGGTGCTTGCCTGAGCATCCAAATAAGCACTGTGCGCCTAATCCACTGTCACAAGATCTTGAGACACAGACACAGGAAAATGTGAACCTCCTGACATAAATCTGCTGCTAGTTTCTGGCTGATAATTTTTTGTCATGTGCCCTTTTGATTCTGTCAGCCTCTCACCATCTCCACATGTGGCCCAAACCTGGAGGGATTACATGTATAGGGTTTCTAGGCAGTGGGGAGCAGGGCTGGATGGAGAAAGATAAGAGCAAAAACAGCTGGGCTGGCAATCCCTGAAATGCTGCGGGTGCCCAGAGACTCTAGCAGAGTTGCTTAGAGAAAGGAGGCAACATTGGGATTTGTTGATTTTACCTACACAGAATTGTTTTTTTTAAATTAACAATGGAGTTTCATTTCGCCCCAGTCACCTGCAGTCTATCATTGTATGGGTGTGCTACCCTTGCGCAAAGAGAAGCATGAACTTAAGCTGATGCTAAAGCTATCTTTGGGACCAAAAAGGTGAGAAAGAGCATGTCTAATGCAAAATTGTGCCGGAATTGTGTTCAAGTTGTTTTGGATACAATTTATATGACTGTAATAGGCGTAACTCATCTGCAGGGATTTAAGCATCCCGGATGTGTGTCTGTTATTACAACCAAGACCAGGAGGCCTCAGGAAGAACTGTAGGCAGAAGGGGTCTGCTGAGCAAGCCAAAGCCCTGGGGCTGACTAGGGCTGAGCTCTTTTTTGTTAGAAGTTGCTCTCTGAAAAATTTAACAGTTGCCCTTCTCTGACCTGTCCTTGGAAAAAGACTGCTGTTTTTATTGGCAGGGTCATTGACTGTTTGCTGTTTTTTTCCTAGCTAAACTGGAACATAATCGCAACAAATCCACAGCCACTGAGGGCTGCAGGAGGCTGGCTCACTTGCTCAACTGCACAGTTGCAGCTAGGGTAGTATTTGTCTTGCTGACCCGTGCTCGCTTCTTTGATGAGTACTACTTTTTGAGTGGCTTGTAGACTCTGCCATGTAGGTGGAAAGCTCATTCTACCTAGGAGAGGGCAGCAATGTGCACCTGGTTAAGGTGATTCCCATTGTAATAACAGCAATGCAGTTGTAGCTCCAAGAGGACAAAACTTAAATGGTTTGTAAATAGAGGTTCTATTTTTAAATGAATTTTGCATGGCTATATTTAAGAAAAGATGTTATCTCTGCCCCCTGGTTTCATCTTGGCCCTAGATCTGTGCTGTTCCCCTGTGCACAGTTTCTGTATGGGTCACGGTGTTCTTCAGGACTTCTTGTTCGGTTGCTTGCAGTTCAGAAAAGACGGCTTTTGGAAATCAGATGTACTTTTGGGCTATTACCTTATTTGGTATCAGATGGAGTTTGAGGTTGTTCTGCTACTGCTCAAAAATATTTTTTTTTGCCTTCAGAGGTCTGACCTCAACCCAGGGGACATGGTTTTTTAGGAGAGGAAAAGATGGTCTGTGGAACTTCACCAATCTTGAAGACCTTTCTGTTTCTATGCATGTGTCTACCTCCTATAGCAGACTGCAGCGTAGAGGCTCGTTCAGTCATGAAGCTGCAGCTACATGTCAAGTCTCTGTGCTGTGAAGAGATGTTAGCCCATGTCCTGGGAGTAATACAGCCGCATCTATACAGTGCTTTGCCAGTAACCATAGTTCCAAAGCTTCAGCAGATTTGTCTAATTATGGAGTGACAACATACTGTTGAGGCAGTCTTGCTTTACACTTTTGGATCAAGGTTGATCAGTGCTTACTCAAGGCCCTTTGCACTGTGTTCATTTGCACCACACAATTACGTCCTTTGAGCGATGCCCTGTAGTCACGTCTGTGCGTTTGTCAGCGTGCATTCTTCTTTCATACCCACTTCCCAATTTCATCTGTCTGGATCCCAAGCCTCTGTCTGTCACTAATGCTTTCTGCAGGCTATCTAAGTATTGCTGCTTGGTTTGGGGTTGGGGTTTTTTGAGGGGTTGCATTTTTGGGGATGGGGTTGAATATTTTTGCTGTCTGCATGGAATCCCTCATCTCTCCTTCTGCACTCAGTGTATGTGGAACTGACAGCTCCAGGGAGGTAAATGAATGCTACTGCATTTCAGAGGAAGAATTATTTCATGCAATTACCCTAAAAATGCATAAGAGAACAGAGTGAAAGGAATGAGGGAGAAAGAAAGAGCATGAGAGAGAATAATCACAACACTTCGACAGGTTTACCCCATTGTGTTTGAAAATCTATCACTCTGACAAGTCCCTTCTGTGAAAGGTGTAGACAGATAATTAGACATTTGCTCTTCAAGGTCCTTTTGAGTGCAGAGGGTGATGGATGGAAGGATCAGTCCATTTCACTCAAGTCCTCTCCCTGATATTTCTTATGGACTGGCTATACGCCATTTGCCTCTCAAGGTCTCACTCAAGCTCTCTGATTTACTCCTCAGTGGTTCCTGGGCAGAGGGTTTTGGGTGGACTTTAAGCTACTGGACCATTGACTTGTGTGCCTTTCCATATAAATTGTGATGTTTTTGGTTTGAGAAGGGGTGCAGTAACAAAAGTCTGTATCCCCCGTTCCCTCCTTGTCTCTTGAACACGGAAGACCAAAGAAAAGGGAGCATTTTGTGGCTTCATTATTCACATCTGAGAAGAGATTCAGGAGAAGCAGTTCCTGTCCTGACTCTTCCGCTGTTTCACCTGCCAACTCTGTCACCCTTTTGATCCCCTCTGTACATCAAGGTCACCCTGGGGAAGCTGGTGACAACAGCTGACATCTTCCTGGAGGCCTCATGCGCCTATATTCACTAAAACATGCAAAATGCTTTGAGATCCTCAGGTGGAAATTGCTGACCAGGGTAAACGGTTCTTATAATCCATTTTCTCGGTCTGCTTTCCAAGAGGCAGGCAAGTTACTGGACATCTACCATACTGGGAGAGGAAGGGAGCGCAAGGGAGCGCAGGGCTATGGGATGCTGGGCCAGGTCAGTTTTTTTCACCTGCACCTGCTGCTCTTGCAGCAAAGCTAATGCATTAGTCATAGTTGTTTACACTTTGAGGTTATTTAGGGAGCATGCTGTTGGGTTAGGAAAGCTAAGGTCTAGTGTATTCCCTAAAATTAGGCTTTTCCCCTTTTGGTTGGTGTGAGAAAGGAGTGATTCACAGCTACGGGAGAAGCTTTCCCGCTTAGCTGAAGCAGCTCACGCTTTAAGTAGAGAGTTTGCTTCAATGTGGGGTAAAACAGGTTACCTGAAGCAGACTCCAGGGACCTAAACTGTTAGATGAGGGGAACACAGGGAGCACCCTGCTGTGCTGCAATTAGGCTTTTCCCCTTTTGGTTGGTGTGAGAAAGGAGTGATTCACAGCTACGGGAGAAGCTTTCCCGCTTAGCTGAAGCAGCTCACGCTTTAAGTAGAGAGTTTGCTTCAATGTGGGGTAAAACAGGTTACCTGAAGCAGACTCCAGGGACCTAAACTGTTAGATGAGGGGAACACAGGGAGCACCCTGCTGTGCTGCAGGTCATGTTCAGCAGAACTAGCTGGTGCCGCCTCCCTCCTCCTGGCCTCGTGGCTTCCAGCTCGCCTGTGTGTCCTCACTGGGAGCATGTGTTCCTCGCTGGGGAGGCAATCAGGGCCAGGCTGGATCGGGCCCTGCACAGCCTGCTCTAGTGGTTGGCAACCCTGCCCACAGCAGGGGGGTTGAAACTAGATGATCTTTAAGGTCCTTTTCAACCCAGGCCATTCTATGATCTTTTTGCAGCCCTTTTGCCTCCTGATGGTCACAGCAGGTAAGAGTTATCACAGCTCCTGTATCCTCATGGTACATGCTCTCACTGCTAGCTGCCTTGTTGCTGTCCGACGGACAGGCTGCGTTTTCTGCGTGGAGGAGCCATGGGCTCTGGTCCTGCTGCCAGAGGCTACAGCTTTGCTCTGAGGGCTCCCAAAGACTCAGTCCTCATGACTTACAGAAATCCTTCAATGAAGAAATGACAGCTCTGTGACTCAAGCTAGGATTTTGGATTGTTCTAACCCTTTTTTTTTCTCTTTCTCCCATTCTGCAGGATGGTGGAGTACTCCCTGGATCTCCAAAACATTAACCTGTCTGCAATCCGTACTGTCCGCGTCCTGAGACCCCTGAAAGCTATCAACCGTGTGCCTAGTAAGTTGTGCTTCCCTTTCACACCTGCTTGGCTTAGGTTGTGAGGAGTATGTGAACAGTAAGGCTGTGTGTTGTAGGTTTCTCCAGGCTGGGTTCAGGTGCAGCCTGAGTGCAGACTGCTGCATGGTGTGTGCAGGCTTTTGCCTAGAAAAGAGGTGTTGTTGGATGGGCAGGAAAACTACAGTCTCCCAGTATATCTGCTCTGGTCATCCTTCATGCAGGGCCATGCTGATGGCTCAGGAGCTGAAGAATGTGCAGGAAAGGAAAGTGTTTCTTCTTGCTCTTAGTGTAGGACATGGCAGGTTTGATAACATCTGCAGCCTCAAAAAGGAATGCATGTGAGGTCTGGAGAGCGGTAAGCTGGAGGTAACAGGGAGAATGTTCGGTCAGGCTTTCACACACTTTTCCAGATCCTCTCATCTGAAAATTTTTTCACGCCATTAGTGTTCAGGGACGTGTGGCACCAGCTATTTTTTCTCTCCTCCTCACCCTGTGCTTTGTACTCCCTCTTTTGTGCTGACTATTCCCCCTGTGAGCTAGCGTGTGTGTATGAGCCAGGCCGAGTGCCACTGGGCATAGGGCTGCAAGAGCTGCGCACGAGCCTGGATGTGTCAGCGGCCAGACTGCTGCTCGTCAGCACCGTTCAGATCTGAGACACATTCCCCAGCTCAGGTCTGCGTGCAAACCAGAGATGGGCTGCAGCCCCAGGATGTGAGACGCAGCCCTGGGGCATATGCCACTCACACATGCTGCTCCCACGTGCTCTGTACTGGTGGTCCCTCCATAGCCCTCACCTCCTCCCTTCCCAGGGGATGAGGATGAGACCAGCCTCTTTGCTGTGCTTTGCAGCTTTTATTGGTGCTGAACTGTTTCTTCCCTCTTCTTCCCTTCCTCTGTTTCTCTCTCTCTCTCTTTTTTTTCTTTTTTTTCCCCTCAAGTTAGTGTTGTTCTCCCTGTAACCCTGAAGCCAGTCAGCAAGCATTGCTGCCGTTATTTTTATTGCAGGAAGCATCAACGGAGGTGGCTCAGGCTTCGCAGTGATTGTATCCACACGGATGGAAGTGAACCGGTGGTCTGGTTGCATGCTGTTGACGTCAGGGGGCTCTAAGAGCACTGAACTGGGTTTGCTGTGTCGCTCCAAGACAGCAGCTTCCATACGTAGCCCTCTGAGACTTTAGGCGTTTCTTCCGCAAGTTTTTCTGTGTTGCAGAATAGCAGGAAGTTTCTTTGCTCTTCCTCATAATCTTGCTAATCATGCTGTCTGCACTGGCTAAGACCTTGCCAGAGCTCTTCTGATCCTTCTGTC